CCCTTGTCGCTTCCATGTACTATCCCAGCATTCGCGTCGATCTGATACACGCCATATTCATACAACGTAATTAATTAAATGATAAATCTGGACAAATTGTGATCAGGTTTGTTTCACCGCGAGTCTGTGACAAGTACGTCAGAACCTGCTGTGAATAATTAATTTCCTTTCTTTTTTTTTTTATCCAAGCGTCAGTCAATCCATGTCTCTTCATTGAGCGAGGAGTAACTTTCTAAAACCGGAAATTAGTTTTAAGCATGTAAAATTGCGTCACAAATTGATTTATTTTTTTCCCCCTGAAAGTCGTAACAGAGTGAAATTACATTTGTCCTTGTGTGGTCAACTTGAGGCTCTGACTAGGTAAGCGATAAATACGGGCTAATAACTCTCATAAACTGAGCGCTACACCAATCAGAATTAACGAGGTGCTTCTCGTAAAAAGATTCGACCCAAGTATCAATTGCTACTTTGTTACTGTGCGCAGTGATAATGCGCTGTAGAACAATTGTTCCTTAGAAGGAACGCAGTTAGACTGTCTCCTGTTCACAATTTAAAAGAACGCGTCTGAAAATAACAGTTTCGAAAAACAATTTTAGTAAACGGGGGTTCCTACCTGAAGTCAGAAATTCTTATCACGATGCCGGGGCACTTTATAGCCCTTGAAATAATCTGTCGCCATCAAAAAGTCTCTGAAGACGTGATCATTGTAAAATATAAGAAATACGAACTTGTAGGATCTTAAAAAAATAGCTCACGTACCCCCTCCCCCCAGGGGATATTTTCGAACCCCAAGTTTTAAACCACTATTCTGGCCCGTAAAGGAAAAGTCTCTGGCATCATGTCAGCGTATGGGTGGAACAAATGTAAGGCTCCACGCGTTCTTAACATCACCCGATGGAGATTCCTGCCGGTGGATGTCGTTCAAAGCTCGGTTGTTGCGTGACGGTCGTAAGAATTTGTCTACGGATCGGTACCGACTGTCATTTTGATGTCCGAGCCAGCTGACGGTGCCAGGCTTACAGCTACCGTCGCGTAACTGTTAAGTTCTTGCGGTCCCTTGTACGCCATCTCGGCCACGTGAAGGCTGTACAACAACAACCATAACAGTGTGGAATGTGCTGGAAATGTTATTACACGGTGGAAGACACAGGACCGGAACCACCGTCCGATGTCGGGGTTAAAGACAACTTTGCCTTTACGTAATCCACTTGCTCTCGGCAGGGATGCCTGTGGACCCGCATCGGAGGTGTTCATTAGCGCAAATAATGGCTGGAACTCAGACCGAACAAGGCGATTATTTCCCTAATTAGCAACCTAAATGCGGGCTGAGAGCCCAGTTTCTACTTTCAGATCCCAGCTCGGGACATAGGCTGCCCTGGTCCAGACAAATACCAGAGTAACATCTTAAATTAGGCCACGACCGCTTCCTTCTATATCCTTTCTGATTCATAATTTGTTAATAATTCTATCATTCGACGCCGTGTAGTTCTAGCGTCGTTAAATAAACCACGTAAAATGACAGAAAGACTTTGCGTGGTTCATTTGTTCTGATGTTTGCAGGAACCTAACCTCCAAAATGATATGACCAAAATATGAGCTTCAAAAAATGTAACCCTAAGATATCAGGGGGTTTGTTAGTTACTTGTAGATTATTTAACAAACGTCAAAATATGGCTGACGACTATACAGCGAATACTCCGGCCCTTTGAAGCCGAAGCTCGCGTAAATAGTTTAATATAATAATCCAGTCCGTACCGCGAAGAAAACACAACTCTTCACCATTACAAAGATTAACTGGTTAACGCTGTTTAAGGAAATAATCGCTTATCTAAATAAAAACCGAGAATTCAGTCCGTACCGCGAAGAAAACACAACTCTTCACCATTACAAAGATTAACTGCTTAACGCTGTTTAAGGAAATAATTGCTGGATATTTTTAATTTTTCTAAAGTTGTTTTGATAGGGATTTTAACTTTCGAAAATTTATAAATCTTTACCTTTGTGACATTTTGCCCTTCATATGACACTGAGTACCGGAGGTAATTACCTTAAATAATTAAATTAATTATTATGACAGTCTAATCCCATTGACCAATACTCAGTTATCCACTCTGGGCGCCAACCGGGGTTAGAACCCGGGTATCAGGGTGACCTGTGAAACTATATAAGTTGATTTGCGAGGAGAAATGCACAGCGGCCATCTTGAAGCCCAGGACTTATACCCTTATTGACCGAACATTTTACATTTGCAGTGCATAATTTTAATGTTGATGGAGGTAGAGAAGTCATAAGCGTGACTGCGGACTGACGGACGTATCGTCCAAGTGAAACTGCATATAACGATTCCGTTATAACTCATTCTTGAGGTAACACGTCGAAACGGAGCCTTCATATTCCAGCCGTTCTAAAAACTGTGTCGTCTTTCTGATACTGCCACGGTGTCGAAGTGGCGTATTTTCATGTGCGTCCCACATAATATGCATATGTGACGGGAAGCGTGTCCTTTGAACCGTGCGTAAGAAAGTGTATTGTTATGGCGTGTGAATCAGGCTGCCTGGATCTATTCGTTTCACCGTGAAATAAAAATGGGGAAAGCAGATTTCTGTGTACACGTCGACTGCCAGTGACATCCACCGGTGGAATTGTGTCGGAACTCCGTAATTCCATTTCGTGAATTTAGTGTTTAGTGTCCGCTTCGCCATGCTCGTAAGCCAGAGAACACGACGGCTTGTGAGACACTTTCCTTTCTTGTCGTCTCTGACTAATGTGGTAAGTGAAACAAACAGCCATGTCGTTGTCTGTGTTGCAGACAATAGTGACGAGAAGAAACGTGTAAAGGCCCAGTGTTTTTCTGTCGTGCGAGTCGATGAAGCTCATCTAAGTAGCATTCAAAAGTTCGTTTTCTGTCTGAAAGTAAATACAACAATGAGCTAGTTTGTGTTGCATGGAAAAATAATTGCTGGTTATTCTGAAGGTCCCGCGAAATCCACGGCGCTGTCTGTGGCGAAAAATACGATTGTTGAATGTTACAGCCATTGTTAGGTCTGTGTGCATTAAAAGGTTATTGGAGAATTTATACAAAAGTGTTACAAGACTTCGTGTTTATTCTCGTGAAAGTGCAGTAGTCTGTGTACAGACTTTGACACCGAGTCCTCAGCTGAAGGTTTCGTTCCGCAAAAAGGAGATAAATAACTTTCTACTGTCATTAGCTTCCTGTTATCTAATGCTAGGCTGTAAGTGTGTAAATGTTTGAACACTTCTAACCCGTGAGATACTTTCTTCAAATACAAACACGTCAGTCATTATTTTCGCATTGTCCAGTAGCGATGTACTTATCGTCTTTCGTGACGAAACACTCTCTGACAGAAAGGAAAGTCTGAAACGTCGATATTAGCACGTCGTTTGCAGAGGAGACTCCTAGCTTTCGCGTTGAAAGTTTATTAAAATGTGGAAAAGACTGTTTTAGGGTTAAAATTATTTTGTTCAATAATGTATTTTTTTAAAAAGATTTCCTTCACCAATTTATCGCGTGTCTTTAGATTTCTGTGTTAATGAATAATTAAAAATACAAACTGATTTCAGCTATGGCATAAATAGACAAAGTTTGCGTGTTTTGGATTTATTGTGACAAATCCGTCTGGAATGTGGGGATGCGAATGGACTAGAATCCGCTTTCTGTCGTAGCAAAATGCCGCTGGATACAGGAAGTCTGTTGCTGCAAACAAAATTATATAACCAGGCTTCGCTGCGTGGCCTTCATCTAGAAATTCTCTAGGCCAACTGGATCCCAGTTTCCTCGGAATAAGACATTCTCATTCCACTGTGGCTCGGATCCCACGTCAATCTGCAGTCCCCTCCCCCTTTCAGCCGTCCATTATCATCACGCCACTGTCATCTTTGTTGTGAGGCAAAACGGAAATTTCGCTTTTATCAGAAATGTATCCAGACGGTCAGAGACCATCCACCACACCAGGAGGTAGACTGTAAGCCACAACACACGTAAAAAGGATTACAGATACAAATAACACAGCGTAATTCACAGTAATAAAAACATTTATTATGTTAAAGAATGCTTCGAATGCGGATTGAAGCTGAGGTTTGAGGTTCTCACGGCTTTGGTCATGGTCTTGTGGGTTGAAACGACGTGTAGTCTTGTAATTCGTACCTGAGGTTTGCCAGGAACACTTCCCCGTCGTCGTCTTGATTAACAAAGGCAGTAGTTTGTATCTCTTCGAAGTCCATTTAAATGATAATTCAGAACACGTCTTTATAACAGTGATCGGTAGGCTAATGATGTTTTTTTTTTTTGGAAAATAATCGCTGTTTATTGTGAGAATCATACGAAACACGTAAATATATTTTTTTTGTGTACAGTTATTGTACGTTGTAGCCAAAACCATAATTATATTTTTTTAAATTTTTTTAGTAATTTATTCCATAAGTAGATATGGAATTATGTAATAAATAGGGAACAGCTGATGTTGATATGAGGGATCAGCAGAGTCAGGGGGGATTTACGTCAGATAATCAATATCTATATGCTGTGTAGCGGGCGGCAAGCAAGCAAAGGGGCTTGAGGGATGACGCATTCACAACGCGTGTCTGACTTGGCCTCTAGAAACTCCGCTCCACCTAGTGACCACATGACACACAGATCTCTCCACCTTTTTTGTTGTTGTGGTTTCCCACAGACACGTCGGAATATCGCCTCCTTCCAAATTGTTTCCTGTTCACTGTCTATTCATCTTCACATTTCATTAAATAAACACTTCTGTTGGCCTTGGGGTCTTCTTGTGGGCTCTGAATGTAGCCAGGAACATACAAAAACACTTGCAGAATTTTGGTTTAGGGGGGGGGGGGAACTTTTGGAAAACGCCTACTTTCCAGACCACGAAGTAGAAGACAGGGTAATGTAAAGCTGGAGGATGGGTGTAATTGGCTGAGGATCGTGCCCATTGCCAGGCTTTGGATGAATCGGTGTTGAAACCTTGTTCTTACAGTCACAAATCCTGGAGCGTGTGAAGCCCGACAGAGTGACAGCGAGTAAACCCGACGAGGACCGTCGACGTCGAACCATCATCGTAGAAAAGAAGAATGGTTCCTTTGGGTTTACATTGCAGGTGAGGCAGACCAGAGCTTTGACAGTCATAAAATACGATGATGATGATATCTGTCATCCAAGGTTATCCAGAACTTTTCTTTTTCCCACATCAGAACCAACGTACAATAGCACAATGTGGCTAAGGTGATTACGTAATTACTGAAATATTCTGCGGTCAGAGCTAAGATAATAGATTTCATGTCTGCGTTATCCTCTTAAAAGAAACTGTTCGTAATAGAAATTTGTACGTAACAAAATGTACACTGCATTAAAGGCTTCAGACAAATAATACACTAGAAATGGGCCCTAATATGTAATTGGTTTATTTTAATGAGAATTTGTCAAGTAAAGATAGAAATTCGTGTTCTTGAAAAGTAAATTTAGTGTTCTGTGATGCAGCACGTATTTCTAGGTCGAAAGAAACGAGCATGAATGGCATAAGGCAATTCTTATAATTTTTTAATATTATCTTCACATTTTTAGACATGGAATTAAACAATAAACAACCACCTATAAAGAAATAAATAAAGAAGTTTTGTATGTTAATGAATTTTAATACTAGAGCAGATAGTTTTGTATACTCTCCGACTTTTATGGACCATGTCGTGCAGACATTTGTAGAGTGGAGGTTTAGCTCCACATATTCATAACATCAGCACTTGTTGCTATGAGGTTGGGTGGGCACCAGAGTGTGGCAAGGGGAGAAGTCCTGCCCTGCAGGGGAATCTGACCCCTGGTCATCACCCCATAGCCTAGTCATCGTTTTGACTGAGCTGCGTGTTTAGTGAGGCAATTGTTTTTTTTATTTCTTTCAGAGTTATGGTATCCACTACAAAAAAGAACAAGAAATAGAGATGATCACGTATGTTGATTATGTAGATTATGATGGAGCTGCATTCAGAGCTGGTATGCGTGAAGGTAATATATAATTTTATCAGATAACAGTTTATGCGTCTTATGGTTTGTTCCGGCAGTGAAATTTACGTCGTTGTCGTATTTTTTCTCACTTGTGTCTTACCAGATTAAGGCCCCATAGAAATATAAACAGATGTTATTTGTATTGTCTCAATATATTACAACTTTCATACGTTTCGTAATTTTGAAGTTTCGATTCGTCACCCTGATGATTGAGGCGGCAGGCAGGTCTGAAACGTAACGAGGCCACACGTCACGACAAGCCGGAAGAATAATGCACGTGACATTTAACATCTTTGTTTTCAGGTGATGTTATTCTGTCAATTAATGGCCATGACATGGAGAAAGCCGATCACAAGACACTCGTCAACTTCATAAAAAACTGTGATTCTCGAATGCGAATGGTGGTTCTATTTGAGGACTGCGTTAGAAAGGTAATTCTCGTAAAATTAGATTTCTAAACAAAATTTTACAGTTCATTTCTGGTTTCTGGTTACAGTTCACGTATCTTAATAGTTATCCCATTCAATAGTCCGGAGATAGGGACTAGCTCTATCGTTTGGGTCCACCAGATTAGGTTTTAGATTAGATTCCGGTCTCCGGAACGATGTGTTTTATTAACTCCGGGACGATGGTTAATGTCCAGAAAGTAGTTTGCTTCATACAATACTTGTACTATTCCCGATTTTTTGGGGGTCCTAGATCGTCATGAAACAAGTGGCAGTTATGCTACACCGTTTTTAATAATATAGAAACCATTTCCCGTAGGTGGAACTTCATATGCGTTACATTCAGCTGCAGCGTGTTCTCCAAGGTAAGATGGTAGAACTGGAACGTTTGTGCTTACGAGAACGGGAACTACTGCAAGGAAAATGGAAGACTCACAGTCTGCCAGCTCGCAAGAAAGCCACTGCTTCGACGTCTACCGACGCTACGACTCCAACGCAAGTAGAAGGAAACGATTATAATTACTGCCGACCCACTGTGTCCACTGAAGATGTTGCAAGGGTAAGTCGAGTCGAATCAGATTCGAAGTTACGGACACGTATTTATTTATATCGTACTTTTAGCCTTGATACTGAATTATGAATTAATTTACTGCTCTAATAACAAGTGACTGCATTTTGTGTTTTCCTCAGCGTAAGTGATAAAATAGTTATTTTATTCAATTAGTGACATTTCACAAACCACATTCATCAATAGTTATTTTATCCAATT